GTTTACTGACAAGTTGTAATTTGGGAAATGAACATGGAGAAGATGGAGTTGAGAATGGTTTCCAGGTGTCAGAGGAAGTAGTAGGATCTGACATTGACTGAAGCAGGTTTGGAGGTGCAGCAGCAAACGATCGGCCAAGTCTGCATTCCATCATGACATTTGTCCCACTGATACCCTAACCTTACAAGTAAAGAGAGCTCTTGATTGGTATTAGAGAGCCGTGTCTGAAGCCTGAGTGATACAAAGAGCATTTGGTGGATCACGCTTTGTCATGGTGTCAGAATCGGAAGCACGTGCAAAATGGAGTAACGCAGACCTAAATGATGCGGGTCAGCATGGAATCCTAAAGGAGAACATGGAAGAGAAAAGCAGACTTCTGTGATGGTAGGCCTGCCTTTCCTACACCTAGGATCAGGGGAGGACTGCAGCTTACTCCTGCTTTCAGATCACTGCTTTTCCTTCCTCATGCAAAATCTCTCTTGCCTTCTGGAGTACATTCCTTTCAACCATACCACAAGGTATATGTTCAGTTTTTTAGTGTGTATCCATCTTCCAGTTCCTCTCACACAGGCATCCATAGGTCAGGAAATCTGTGAGCCAGGTGCCTCTCTCATCCTCTTTAGCCTTAAAGCATTCATGGTCTATAGATAGTCCTTTCTTTCTTCAAGGAATCTTTATTCAGCTCTAATTATAGGACAGGCTCTGTATTAGGCACTGGATTCAGAAGCACATGAAACCAAGTGTCTGCTCTGGTGGTACATACTTTCTGTTTTGGGGAGACAAATACATATCTGGAGCCATGTACTAAGAAGAAAACCAGAGCAAGATAAAAGGGTGAGAATGACGAATAGGCAGCTGGGGGTGGGGTGGAGGGGAATGTCAGAAAATGATATATAACGGAGACCCACATGAAGTGAGAGTAAACCGTGTGGGTCTATGCATGTATTATGTATTGCTGTATAACAAATTATCCCGGAATTGAGCAACTTTAAATGATGAATATGTACGTGTCCTCTCATAATACCTCAGCATTAGGAACCAGGGCGTAGCTTTTAGCTGATGTTTCTGCTTCAGGACTCGCATGAAGTTGCAGTCCTCATTCCAGGAGTGGCGTACCATCATTATTTTTCCTCCATACCTTAAACTGCCTCCCTTTCCTGACTTGTCTCTCTCATTGCCTAAATGCAGTTTCCCAGTCCAGCTTCTTGCTTCTCTCCCATTTCCTTTTTTATTCATGCTTCCTAAAACAGGTATTTGCGGTCTTAATTTTTACCACTTGTCCTCTTTCCTCTCCTGTAGATGGGCTCCCACTCTCTTCCACACCAGGAAATCTCTGTCAAAGGTGACCTCTGGTGAGGAAGACCAGTCTGTTCTTTTTTTTTTTTTTTTTTTAAACATCTATTATTTGACAGAGAGAGAGAGATCACAAGTAGGCAGAGAGGCAGGCGGAAAGAGAGGAGGAAGCAGGCTCCCCGCCGAGCAGAGAGCCTGATGCGGGGCTCGATCCCAGGACCCTGAGACCATGACCTGAACCGAAGGCAGAGGCTTTAACCCACTGAGCCACCCAGATGCCCCCAGTCTGTTTTTAATATAGTTGATTCCTCTTGTGGCATTTGATTCTTTCTCTTGAGATGATCACCCCTCTTGATAGCTAATACGGCATTTTGCCGCCTCCTTCTCTGACATACCAGCCTCTCTTGGAACCAGTTCTTCTGCCAAGCTTTTATTTTAGGTATTTCTTAGAGTTGTGTTCTTGACTTTGTTTTTAGTTTACCTTGTCTTCAAAGCTGACCTCCACCAAAACTAAGCTGATAATCCCTGCCCCCTTAACCCCCCACCATACACCGATACTGCCCCCGCAACACACACACACATTGTTCATCCATATCCTTTTCTTCTTTGGTTAATGGAATCTAGGCAACCCAGTTAAAAAAAAAATCATCAAATTTTTCCTGCCTTTCTACATCCTGTAAATAACCAACATACGTTAATTCTGTCTTCTAACTCCAATCAAACTCTTCCTGTTTTGGTCTTGCATAACTGATATCCCATTCTCTGTTCTGATTTGTCATCTACCCTGGATGCTGCCACCAGTTTTGTGTAACTCTTGTTTCTCAACACATTAGTACCTGGGTCGTGCAGCCATCATTGGCTCACTTGTCACAGAGCGCTCAGATCACTTGCTTGGCACACGCTGCATTTTGCCGTCTGGTTTGTTGGTCTGCTTGGCACAACTTTTGCTCCCCTCACCCTTAAATTTAATGCTTCTGCAGAATGAAAGTTTTACGTTGCCCTCAAAAGGCCATGCTGTTTATGCCTCACTCCTTTTTACTTCTATTGTTTTCCTGAAATGTTTTCTCCCTTTTCCCCTTCAACCCACAATCATTCAGATCACAGGTCCCTGTCTTTGTTTTGTGACCCCTTTGTCCTCAGCCTTGTCCCCAGACAGTGGAGTTCATAACTTCCTTTTCTATCCTCCCCTTGCATAGGCTGCCATTCTTGCTCTTACTGTATTATTTATCCCGTGTCTCTGGTTGTGTGAGCTTTGAGAGCAGGGTCTCTGGCCCATTCATTCTTCTGTCCCCTCAGTACTTAGCAAAAGGCATGACACAAGATTACTGCCTACGTATCCATAAATAACATGTAATTTGACTGCGTTAGTATGGTCTAGGTATAGTTTTATAGGGGAATTAAGACTCCACAAAGTCTTCTTATTATCCTTGCTTCAAAAAACATTGTTGGGTTACTTGGTAGAATTGAGCCCTGAGTTAGGCGGAAGTTGAAAAAAATAAAAATCCCTGGCAACTCAAAGTATTAGATACCAAGTAATTAAAAGCTTTTCCGAAGCCAGCATTAAGGTATTTATATTGCAAATTAAACCTATCTTGGTGTTCCAGCTTCATACGCAATTACCAAATTTTTTAAAAAAGATGTTATTTATTTGACACCGAGAGAGCTAGCAAGAGAGGAGGGAACACAAGCAGGGGAAGAGGGAGAAGCAGGCTTCCCGTGAGAAGGGAGCCTGAGGCAGAGGGTCCTGCTCCCCACATCTCAAAGCCTGAGGTCCAGACCTCATTGGAGAAGATGTGGTGTGTCCTACTGTGTGGCAGAGAGTTTGACTGCAGTGCCACCCTAATGAGACTCCTGGGGAGTCTGGCTTCTGGGGTGCCCCACAGTAGAACTCCCTGGGGGTCTGCCAGTGGGGGTGGTGTACTAGGAAGCCACCCTCGGGCTGGGAGAAGCTGTTCACACATTTGTGCCATGCTTCCAGGTGTAAGAAGAGAGCCCTTTGTCCTCCAGGGTCCCTCCAACACTTTGCAAAGTTGTGCTAACTGACACAGGCAGGGTACTAGGAGGGGTAGCACATAAAAGTGATAAATTGACGACTTGATTCCTCAGCTTCCATAGGTTCCCATTTAACAATATAAGAGTCTTATAGGAATTAGGAAAAAAATAGGTATATATAAAATTTATCTTGAATTCTAGTACCCAGTGAGAGTTGTGCAATTAGAAGAGGGTGACAAAGGGGATGAAGGCACCCTAATATGTCCCAAAGTAGTTAACGGTATTCTTAGCACAAGTGCATTATTGATTACCTTTATTTTCATTGATCTGCATAAAGTAAAGGTATTGTTCTTATACCTGTCTCTTAAGAATTAGTTTCAGCTTAGAAACAGAAAATAAGTCTTTTCTATAGTGACTAAGGCACAACTGATAAAGAGAACAGAAACATTGTATGTGTTCAGTGTTTGCCTAATGTAGAATTTATAACTCGTATTTCAGTATATTAGGCAAAATGTTCAGAAGTCAGGAGTCCTCTGGCCATTGAGCAAAGAGAGGAAACATTTTGTGTGAAGGACACTAAAAGGGGAGAAATCAAACATTGGGGGAAGGTGTGGGGTCAGGTGATGGTCAGTGAGACCACTTTGTACAGACCATGTGTGCTGCTTACCCACATGCCAGACAGACATGATAATAGTCTAGTCCAAGTAGTGGGGTCCTAACTCTTAGAGTACCATTATTTCAAGTCAGTTCTTAGGGTAAAAGTTGACATTGATTTTTGTTTCATAAACTTAACAGAACTCACGGGTCTGCACTGAATAATCTTACAGGCTCTTCTGGAAGAGGGTTTTTTGTTTTTTTGTTTGTTTGTTTTTGTCATTATAGGAAAAAAAAGCAATAAAAGCCATCATACATGCTTTGTAGAGGATTTTTAGGACTGTTGATGGAATAGATATTTGATGAATCTTGACTGATATTTGTTGATATTTGGGTCTACAACTTAGAAGAAAGGAGAGGTTTAAGGCCAGCTCTGATGTTTTGCACAGTAAGACTTAATTCCCATCTCTTCTATCCATTTCTGAACCCCTCTGTCTGCTTGTCTTTGTATGTTATTACCTGGTATTAGGGAACATCTAGATATTTGTTAAAGATTTTGCTTTTCTGTCATCCACTCTTACCAGCTCTGAGACATGTGCAAGAAGTAAGGGAACTGGTGAAGTCAGGGATGGGGATGGTTGCACCGTAATCTCCCAGCCATGGAGCAGGTTTGGTTAAGGTATACGTGTTGGGTACTGATTTGGGTACCAGGCTGTTGGCCTTCAGATCCTCACTCAAATAATCGGGAACCCCCACCCTGCTGAAAAACTAGCCAGAACTCTAAAGTACAGATAAAGAAGTTGAGTTTACATCTCCAATTACTTTCTTAACTCTGAAAGGATTCAGTTGCAGAGATGCCCGTGACCTTCAGGTGGGGTACATGTAGTTTGAGTTGGCTGATCTTATGGTTTCCTGGCTTTCGTTACTGTCTCTTGTAAACATTTCATCATTTTTAGAAGATTTGGGTCCTTCTTATGTCACCAGTTACCATGTGTTATAAAACATTTTGAATCATTGTAGAACATTTGGTGTCATAATTCTGGCTGGATTGCTAAAAACAAGGAGTGTTAGTATTCCTGCCTAATTGTAAATGGGTTTTTTGTTTTTTGTGTGTCTTCCAGGTTTTTCTGAAGAGTGATCGAGTGGCCAGAATGGTTCAGAGTGGAGGATGTTCTGCTAATGACTTCAGAGAGGTGTTTAAGAAAAACATAGAAAAACGTGTGCGGAGTCTGCCAGAAATTGATGGCTTGAGCAAAGAGACAGTGCTCAGTTCGTGGATAGCCAAATATGATGCCATTTACAGAGGTGAAGAGGACATGTGCAAACAGTCCAATAGAATGGCCCTAAGTGCTGTGTCTGAACTTATTCTGAGCAAGGAACAACTCTATGAGATGTTTCAGCAGATTCTGGGTATTAAAAAGTTAGAACACCAACTCCTTTATAATGCATGTCAGGTAAGTGGTCCATATTTCCCATTTCGCCCTCTGGCTCAGAATGAATATCAAATATTTACAAGCCTATGAAAATGTATGTTTTATAATCACTTTGCCTGAAAAGTTGAGTGAAAATGAATTTTAATAAATTGAGTAGTGGTATTTGAAAGAAACTTTGAAAGAATTACTTAATAGAAGGAGAAGTACATTCTATCTGTAAATAACCATTCCCATATGTCCTATGTTAGGACCTCAGATTTTCACCTGTTTGGTACATTAGGGATATGCCTCAAATAATAAAATGAAGATCCTCTATTATCTAAAAAAGTTCAGCAGTTTATAATAAACCAGTATTCCTGAGTGCAAAATAATTTTTTTCTTAAAGTTAGGCTGGTCTTCCAAGTTCTGAGGAAGTAATTGAAACTTCAGAATTTCTTTAACCCAACAGGATAGAAACAAAGATGTTGCAGAACTATGAAATTTAGAGATGACCAAATAAAAAGTATTTTTTCTCTTCAGTTGTTACTCTAATCATACATAGGACAAATTGAATAAAATATATTCCACATCTTTCATCCTTGCGCCCTATGACTTAATCTAATAATGCATTCATTTCGTATTTGCATTTTGTTTATTTTAGTGGTATAAATTATTAAACTATGCCCTAATATACAATTTAAATAGACATAATTCAGGCATTTAAAAATTCATGTATTCATTAGACTTATACTTCTATAATGTAAATAATTTACATGTATTTTTAATCTTTTCACAAATTTCAATTTCAGCATTCTATGCATATCATTTGCTTTGCATTACTAACTTGTGAATCACTTCAAGTGAATAAGTTGACAATAGTAAAGCAATGTAGCATCTTAACCCTGTGAACAATTCATGCATTCATCATAATTATTTTCACTATTATTAAACCAGGTAGTTATTTGATCATAATGGAGGATGACTATAAAACCACAGTCTTCTGTTTTAAAAGATAAATGCAACAGGGACTTTCTATTTTTAATGAAATAGTAACTCACTTCTGCAGTTAAATATTGATGAACATAACTTAGTGAAATTCAGATTCACACATTTGGTATTTATTGAGTATTTATTCAAGTTTTTGACTTGCTGGGTGTTGGGGAAACCAAGCTGAGCAAATGAAGATATTTGTTCTCCATATCTCCATATGTTAACGTCTAGTAGAGCAGATGGATCTCTAAAATGAGTTATTACAAATGCACTGAAACGTATACTGATTGTTACAGGGTCATAACATCTGATCAGTGAACCTATCAGGTTTTTTTAAATAATTGAAATATAGTCTTCTGTCTTTTTATGTAATTAACTCCTTTATCATGATATAATAATCCCTCTTTATCCCCGATAATTTTGTTTTTTCTGAAGTTGCTTTGTCTTAAACTAATATGGCTACTCAGCCTTTCTTTTGATAGTTAGCCTGGTGTCTTTCTCTGTTTACTGTTAACGTATCTAATTCCTTATGTTTAAAGTGAGTTTCTTGTAGACAGCATCAGATTGCCTCTTGTTTTTTTCTTTTTAATCAGTTGGCCGTCCTCTGTCTTTTAATGACTATGTGTAGACTATTTGTATTTAAAGTGATATAGTTGGCTAAAGTTCTACAGTCTTAGTAAGTGTTGTCACTTTTTTGCATTTATTCTCAGCCTTCTCTCATTTGAAATGAGTATTTTATGTGATTCAATTTTATGGGATTTTCCTTTGATGTATTACTGGTGTTTTGTTTTGTTTTTTTTTTAAACTTATTTAGGGGTTGTCTAGTGGTGGCTCTAGGGATTACAGTCTACATTTTAAAATATTCAACTCCATATTCAAATAACACTAAAAGTCTTCACGTGTAATACAGCTGTCCCATAAAAGAATTCCCAATCCCTCCCTCCCATCCCTGGTGACATCTGTCATTTATTTCACTGATATTTCTATCCTTCATTTCCCTGATGTTTTTATCTAGTATATTGTTACTACTGTTGCTTTAAATAGTTAATTTTTAGATATTAAGAATAAGAAAACTAGAAAAATAAAAACTTTTATATTTTATCTTCATTTCTTCTCCTGACATTCTTTATGTAGACCCACATTTCTGAATGGATGTCATTTTCCTAATCTTTCTGAAAACCTTCTTTAACACCTCTTGCAAGGCAGGACAACTGGTGAGGAGTTCCTCAGTTTTTCACTGGATATAAAATGATCAGTTAGCTTTTTTCTTTTTTCTTTCAACACTCTGAAGGTTTCAATTCAGGCTGTTCTTGCTTGCATGCTTTCTGATGAGAAGTCTGATGCCTTTGTGTTCTGACTTCAGTATTTCCTTCTTATCTTACTTTCCTGAGTTTGAAAATGATATGCCTAGGGATAGGCTTTATGATCCTCTTGCTTAGCATTCTCTAAGTTTCCTAGATCTGTGGGTTGGTGTCTGTCATTCAGTTTGGAAAATTCTCGGCTGTGATTACTTCAGGTTTTCCTTCTGCCTCATTCTTACCTCCTTCTGATAGTCCAATTATGTTTGTGTCACCCCTACTTGATATCTTCCACAGTTATGGGATTATTTTTTTTAAGTTTTTTTTTTCTCCTTGCATTTGAGATTGGGAAGTTGATGTTGACCTTTGGTCAAGTTCACCAACTCTTCCTCAAAATCCTCAGGTCTGCTGGTGAGCCCATCAAAAGGCTCTGTTCATTTATGCTAGTGTTACTGACCTAGCTTTCCCTTTGAGTCTTTCTTAGACTTCCCTTCTCCTTGTTTACATTACCCATCTGTTCTTGCATTCATCATAATTATTTTCACTGTTATTAAACCAGGTAGTTATTTGATCATAATGGAGGATGACTATAAAACCACAATCTTCTGTTTTAAAAGGTAAGTGCAACAGGGACTTTGTATTTTTAACGAAACAATAACTCACTTGTACAGTTAAATATTGATGAATATATTTCTATTAGAGCCCTTAATTTATTAATATAAGTTATTTAAACTTTTTTTTTCTTTTTTTTAATACCTATACCATCTCTGTCACCACTAAATCCCATTGGGATACTTGCTTTGTCTCTCCAATCTGTGTTTCTTTTTCTCTTTTGGCATGTTTTATAAGGTTTTTTTTTGAAAGGCAGGCCTGTTGTATCAGATATATTTGCCTTTAGTGTGATGATTTACATTGATCTGACTGGAAGGTAGGCTGTGCTTATTGTAATGTTAGTAGGCACAAGAAGCTTCAGATTTTTCTGATGTCCTTGTCTTTTGACTCTGGGCTTTCCCAAGTATTCTTCTTCAGAACGAGTCTCTCTTACAGCTCCTCTGCTGTTACACTGGAGCTGTGTTGGTGTTGGTGTTGTGATGTAGAGTGTTGGGGAGTAGGGATTGTTCTACAGTCTGACTGCATCTCGGATTTTTAGTAGGCCTATGTCTTGGAGCCGTAGCCTTCACAGGTGTTTCTGTCCCTTGTCTAGGAGCGTGGCTTCCCTCCTCACCATGTGCCTTACTCCCTTCCTTGCTTAAAGCATCCCCAGTCCATTTCCTTGAAGTTGTGCCTCCTCTTCACTTAGGTGTTATTTTTCCCAGTAGAAGAGATCAGAAGGTTGCCAAAGACGGCAGAGGGTAGCCTTTTCTCTCTTCAGCTGGGACAGTTATTCAGTGTTTCCGTTTGGCAAAGTCCGTCCCCCTTTGTTAGGTAGAAGGATGTGGGAGGTTTAACAGTGGCTTTTCTTCCCCTCTTCCTGCTAAGTCTTGGATCCCGATGAGAACTTGGTGGAATTACTGTAGGAAGTGGGAACCCCTTTCTGATTGCAGCCCCAGGAATTTCTCACTCTCTGCCCTCAGCTTCTAGTAATTTGTCCAAATTACTTGTAAAGTAAGTAGTTCGACTCTTTATGACCTCCCCTGGCTTCTGCTTTGGGTATTCAGCTCTCTGGTTTTGATTGTGTCTCCAGGTGTTGGATTAGTGGTTTGCCCTGCAACCTTAGTTCTCTGACAAGTCCAAGTCATTGCTTTTCAGTTGGTGTAGCACTTTAAGAATGGGAGTGATACTTTCCAATCTCTTTACTGGTCTGAGCTCGAAGCAAATCCTTTGGTTCTCAGATTTGAAAAGCTCTAAGCATTATTTCTTTGATAGACTTGAAAAAAAAAAGAAAAATCCTCAAATAAATAAAGGAACAGCTTTATTTTGGCATAACGATCATTTTATGAAATCAATGAAATAATGAAAATGGATGAAAACAGCTGAGATTCTTTTTTCTTTCTTATTTGTTCTTCCATTGTCTTTCAACAGAGTTCTCAAAAGAAAAGGTGATGGAAAACACAGACAATAGGCTGTGCTTTACAGGAAAGAAATAGTTCAAGAAGAGGAATAGTGGAGCAGAGGTTGGGGGACTAGAGAAAGGACTTTAAAGCTAGCTGAGCTGTTGGGACCTGGCTCCAGGTATAGGTTGGTGAAATTTACTCCACTTTCCTCACATCTCAAAAAGACTTTGAGACTTACTAACTGTAACTCTTCTATATTTGTTTACCCTTAGCTCGTCCCTTGTTTTTTGCTGGTCGTGGTCCTCTAGGAAACCTCATAGATGTGTGCTCGCTTCAGGGTCACAAGCTCTGCCCAGAGAGCTATTCTGCTAACATGTTCAGGATGGCAACAGCCAGAGTCTCTGGTACTTAAGGAAAAACTGGAATGTGAAGGGAGCAATGCCAGTGCTGCAGCCTGATGGCAACAAGAGCTTCATGTGGTCACAACTCTTGTCCTGGAACTGTAGGATCAGCATCAGGAATGGAAAAACAGGAAGCTGTCTTCTAAAGAAGCATAGGTGGTTATGTTCTTTTTGATTGGAGCCAGGAACTTTGTCATTATCAAAATTAAGGCATAAAAATAAAACATGAATGCAGAGGATATCACAATTAAATTATAAAACTGGGATTATTGAAAGAAAAATTACTACATGTTACCAAAAAACAAAGAATGAGAACAATCCAGATATTTCATAGATTAGCTATTGTGGTAGTAAAACTT